TTTTGTTTACAGTATAAATAGAGTGCAGGAATGAATAAAGTTATCTTTGATGCCATATTCCTATGACGTCACGCTTAACAACAAGACTGCATTTCGTTTTTAACGAGCTTCTCAAAACAAATTATCCCTATTGTTTGCTTGTAATTACATATAATTAGTAAAAAACTAAATTTGCTTCAAAACGTTACTGTATCAATTGTGCAGTTAGTAAATATAATGGTAATCCAACCGTCCACTTGTTCTACCATCGATTAGAAAAAAACGACAGTTACTGCGGTGAATAGAGACAAACGGTCTGATTTGTCAATACCAAGTGATACCTTCACACTGACGGATACCACTACTGCTATCTGTCACAGTGTGAAAGATCTCTCTTTTATCATGCAGCAAAGATTTATACACCATTTTTTTTTCATTTTTTTTATGTTTTTGTCTCGTTGTGTTCTCTTTTTGTGCCTTTGATCTATCTTCCTTTCACATTTGAGTTACGATTTGCCTTTGTTGACACTTGAACATACTGTATACTATTTATTTTGTGGTAGGCAGCTGCATATTTGGGCGGTTATGTGTAGTGGACAAGCTATTTCCACAGCGCAGAAGATTTCTACACATTGAGTGAAGCGCAAGTTATTGAAACCTTAACAAGATAATATTATAAAAATAAATTACAGACAGGTCCACTTGAAATATTAATTAAGACAAAAGAAAAAGTTTTCACCGTTACTTGATTTCTATTTCAATTTTTTCTTAAAGATGTTAGTGTAGTTATCAAGGGAGGAACTCATAGCAAATAACATGTATAACCTTGTGCAGTTTATACACGTACATGTAACTACCCATCCACTCTGGAACGTTTATTGGTTTATAATTGAAACAATGAACCATTAAGATAAATTAGACCAGCAAACATGATAAAAATCTACATAGCATGTGCTCTGTCTACAAATATACAAAGCTGCCGAAGAAATAAAGACAAAATCAAAACAACTAGGAAACATTGGATTTTAAGTGGTCTTGGCGTCAGTCAGTCTTTCGTTGTAATGTAACAAGACTTTGCTGAACGGCTTTTTTAATACTGTATGTAGAAACACAACCATTTCTCAGATGTACAGACTCATCAGATATACCGCACGCTCGATTTGCGCCTGCTTCGCGTACCGACGGCAGTAAATGTAGAGAGACGCAAAATAATACACACCTTCAAACCTCTATGTCAGGACCGCCATTTAAGGACATTCAATGGGTATACATGTAACTTAGTGTGGAGACCCTGTTCTCTGATTTAGCATTTGGGATTTTTTTTTTTTAAATAAGTCTGCCATAGCACGGTCAAGTTTCACCTAAAGTAACGTAGCATCAGACACCTGCTACAAATGGCACAGTGGTACAGTTTGGTATTCAATAATATTTCAGTTATATGTTTTATGATAACATAAAAAGGGGAATATTAATACAGTTTTCATAGTACATCTTTGTACTATGCTATGCATTTGTCATATTTACTTGGAAATGATCACAATTATGACAGAAACATTTTTCGCGAATTTTCTAGGTGCAGAAAGGAAACATACAGTATAAGAACACGTCACATAGATATGAATTTGTCAGTCAGACATGTAAATTATGAACTGTTGACTGTATTTATTTATTTTGTAATTCTAAAACGGAAATAACAGAATTTCGCGTCGAGGATGCGGCATACTTTTTACCAGTCACAATCGTTGCTAACGTAAACAAGTGCAACGTCTACGATATCTCTGCAGCTGTTTTCCTCCTGGAATGTTGTGCTCTTTTGTTTTTCCGTGGATTTCACTCGATTCCAGTTCCAGTCTTTCAGATCTAATCCAGATCTACTTTGACTTTAGTTGTTTTTGTATTGATATATCTAACATTTCATCAGGAGTCTTTAACGATGGAACAATCGTGTACAAAATAACATATGACACATCTGCGTTGTTGCCAAACCGCAGATAAGGCAACGTCTAATATAACTCGTATAACATTATGTGCCCGTTACTCAGGATAACTTTCTGTTTTGAGTCATTCTTGTGGCTGACACTATTATCTCCTAAATAGTCTGATCAGAAAGTTAGAGCAGTATCGGGATACCGGCAGCGAATAAACCATTTTTAAAGAACACTTCGACTGAAGGGGCGTATTGGGATGTCGTCTGGATTTCCAGACTTACTTTTTATGGCTTTGGCGGTTCGTGACTATCCGAGACCTAAGAAAATATTCTTGACATTCCATTAGGCCGTAGAGTATCTTGGGTTATTCAGAAGACAGCGGTACAACAAAACGAATCAGAATTGTCGATCATTCATTTGAAAATCACTTACATTGCTTATAAAGTAATTTAATCACTATGTATGTATTCTTGCAAGTAAGAGTGCTTTATTTTTATTTTTATTTCTAACTGAATTGCTACATTTCTTCATCTTTCTTCTATTAACAATTTCTTGAACTGATTCTTTATCTTCTTTGTTTAAGTCTACCAAATATCGAAAAACATGATTAAACTCAACAACCCAAAACGAATTAACAACAGAAACATGGGATATATGATAATTTGAGGTACCGGTATGGAAGACATGATGTCTGATATTCAAATATACGTACATAATGTACGACCAGACTAATTTGTTATAGTGGAACAGTTCAAACCCGTCCATTATAAAACAGGCAATGACTATGCACGGAATCGGTCCAACCTTATCAAATATTGAATTAAGTATGAGAACTGTCGACGCCGAATTCTTAATGACCGATGTTTGTATACCCAATAGTTCAATATGTTCAATTCTACTTCCTAACACGTGCCATGTACGTAGTCAGCAAAGGCAGCTCCGTTCACTGAACCGTAAAAACAACAAATCTGCTCAATCCGTCAGACAGCCTGCATTAAATGGGTCAAGAACTCGTCGAAGTCATGTCTGCTTTGTATATCAACAGTAAACTAATGGATTCTAGCTATGCAATGTAATAAATAGGTTGTACAGAATATAGATGTATTAAATTAATTGAAATAGTAGAATATTGTTTGGCATTCGCGTCTATTTGCTGTGATACTATTGGTGCTTCCTTAAATTGAATTTCTACTGACGATTTGAGTAAAAATGCATAATTTAAAATTTGAATATATACAGTAGTTTGTTGGTTAATTAATATTCTGCAAATTACGGATCCCTATCCCATTTCTGGCGAAACACGAGAGAATTTCACTAGTTGTCCACACATACAGTCACATCCCCTTGATTTCCTCTTCGGTATAACTTAAGTCGGGCTGATTCAGGTAACCACCGTTAACTACATATCTCTGTTGGTAAGAGAGCGACAGCATTGTAATCTGAGATCCGGGGTTCGAAACCAGGACTTGCCGCGTTGTGTTTTTACTCTCAGAACACTGCTGTCGATGGCATTTATTTGTGTTTCAGATTCATTATTTTTGTCATAAAAGTTCTGCATGGCAGGGACTTCTTTTCAGACATAATTTAAAGCTTTAGTCACGGAGTGTAAAACAAGTTTCCTATCCTTTGTTACAGTTTTTGAAAGCGGTACGGGAATCCCTAATCAGTCATTACAGTCCTTAACAGATAATTTTACAAAGTAGGAAGATCATTTAATAGGCTAGTCATTGCATTTTCTTATCAACATTATCGGTTATCAGTTATCAGTATTTTTCTGTTTAATGTCCAAAAATCAGACATGAGTATATATATGCAAACTAAGTTAAGAGTCAATACCATTATGGCTTCTGGTAGAAATAATGAATCTCAGAAATAGGAATAGGAAAAAATGTAATGGTATCGCAATACAATCTTGAGTTGTTTATCTGTCGATTGATATCAATTTACATTTTCTCTGACTCAACTTTAATGAAAAAGGAAACCAAAACGTTCATACATTAAATGCGTTAATTATAATTTTTCAGAATCTTTGATTCATTTTCGACATACTTGTGCAGCTGTTCAATAAGTCAGTCCCTGCAACAAAATGTCCTTGAATTTGTATTCCCTTGAAACGTATACACATTGCCGTTAACTATTTTTGTTGAAGAAAAATCAAAATAGTTTGACCTGTGAAAGGGAATGTCTTCCAAATATCCCCGTCACATTAAATGAAAAGTAATATGTTTAGATTGCCACGTTTATTCCAAAGTTCATTGAATAATGAATTAGCTCGTAATTGCCCTTTCATGTAAACATAAGAACATACTCATCATCGTTCATATGACAAAGTAGCCTAAACTCTGTAATTTTCACTCATTATCGTTATATATGACGTAAAAATGCCTTTAGCTATTGAGATAATCTTTATTGCTTCTTCAGATGCCAGAAGATTGATGAAGCAAAAAAAGTTTATATGAGTGTTTAATGTAATTTTCCTTTATTGTCAAGAAAAAAGAAAAGGATGGCAAGTACGAACATTAAATTTCTGCTCAGAGCATCAGAATTAGTGATTATTATTAAGTATGGTAAAAAAGAACGTAATTAAAGATATTCAGTCTTTTCGCCTTAATATGAAACATATAAAAATCGTTACCTGAAATAACACATATATAAGTATTCCAAACCAAAAGATGACAAAATGTATTCTTATACTTGAAAAAAATTGGCCAAATAACCGAGAAAGAAAACTTCGTGTTCCCCTTCCGACTTAGATACTCTCCAATCATCCTACCCTTGTTCAGGGACAGGGTAGAAAAAGGGGCAAAAGGCACCACAGAATCCCGAGTGATTAAAGCGGACGACAACAATGGAGTGTAGGCCTGAATGTATTTACTGCTGTTTTATATTTCTTCTAATTTTCGTAAAACAAAATGTTAGCAACACGATTGTTTGTGTCTTCTCAATCATACCTGTTTCTACTGGGATTTACACCCGTATAACAATAGTAATCTTGGGAAACAAATAATCTTGTTTTCCGAAAACAAGGGCAATTATTATATAAAGTAAAGTGCATGTACTTCGGTTAGGAATACGATTAAATGATTAGCTTACCTGTCTCCACAGCGCCGGGAATGTTGCCTTTCCATAGTACCACAGCTATATGGGAGTACGTGAAGCCCATCAGGACCATGGGGACAACGTAGAGCACAATCAACAGGACCAATTGGTACACAGTTTGACTACCGTTAGACCAACCAGGCTTGCATGACGTCAGAAGAATGGTGAACTCGGGACTGAAATACGGATGTAGCTTGGCAACAATTAAATCCGGAACCGCCACCGCTATGGAAAACAGCCATATTGCACTGATGATTATTTTGGCGCGTTTTTTCGTGCTTTTAAATACAAGCGGATAACAAATGGCGTACCATCTCTCCACAGAAATAGCGCTCAGGGTCAGAACGGACACAGATATGGATACCGTCTGGAAAGAAATGAAACAGGTGATCAGTTTGTTACAACAACTCCTTGGTTTAACCTTATTGTTCTAAAAATCATAAAAGAGGTTTGGGAATACACATTATTAAACCTGATAAAGCTGCAGTAATATTTAATACAAACGTGGCTTCGTTATAGAAATACACGTGACACTGGTTCTATGGAAACAGGTTCACTACGGATCGGGACCACTGAATATTTAAATGTTTGTCAGTGTTTAGAGTTCATCAGCAATCTTATTTTTTCATTTCAGTGAAGAAATAAACAACGTCACAAACACGTTTGATAACCGTATGTTACGAGCATCAACGTTAATGTTGTGTTTCCTGAAGTAATTGATGTTAATGAACAAGATTAACGACATTTCTATTGGGGCGTTTATGACGCCACGTAGAATTGCTATCTTAGTGCTTAAGTAGTATTTGATATGTGTTATAAGATTTATTAAAAGGTATGTATCACAAAGAAATTAAATGTATCCACTCTGATGTGGTTTGGCCTTGTACTCTTGTATGACACCTGCAGGTGTTTTGATAAGTAATAAAGGACTGCCAAATCTCAAATCTGCAAACATTAATTAATGAAATATGGCCAGGTGGTGGTATAGGTAAGTAGCACCTGGATAAAGTATTCATATTATAAAAAAAAAAAACGTAACTATCAAGTAAATATTGCCGAGTCAAACCCTGCACCGTGACTTTCCATTATTGTGTTTTCTGATGTGTTGATTATATGATTGCTGTTTATCTGATGCTCAATTTCGTCTTCTCTTACATGTATATAGAATAACATTATGGTACATCTTAATAGACGTTACTCATTTTGAGGCAGACCTAACACGCAGTCAGAGACGGACACTGAGAGTAGTAAATTCAGGGAACATCTCAGAATCTGTTTCATTATATTTGTATTAGGGATTCCTGTCCCCCTGCTTGCGACAAAACACTAGAGAATTATCATTTAGTGTTCCTTACATGTTACCTACAGTTACATCGCCTGTTTTTCCTAACAATTGATAAACTTCTCCTGACTGAACTCCCCCTACGGGGATTTTTTTTCAGGAAACATTTTATTTTTAAATCAAAGTTTATACTGAAAAAACAAGGACTCTTTGCATGCTACAGTTGATTGTACTAGTATATATATATATAAATATATAATAGTAAGCTGTCGTCGTCGACACATAGTTACAAATACTTAAGGATTAACTTGAATATAGTTTTCATGTTATGGAGATATAACACAAAAAACCGGAGTGTACTCTAAATAAACCAATTTAATCTACTATACACAATCCCTGTGGAAATCCACTTCTGTTGATGGACTCTTTTCTCTTAGAAATTATTGCGCCTCTATATCAACCAATCAAAAGCGACGTTACAAATGGCGACGTTATGGGATGATAACATAATTTTTTAAGCCAATGGAAATGCTTGTTACAAGCAAGATTAGATTATATATTGATATAGTCCGAAATTCTCGTAAAAATTCTGATTTTCACTTATTTATCACGAAAATATATTTCTATATTGCAGTTCTTCTAGTCTAGTTATAAAAACACACGTAACTCTTTCTAGATTCTATCCCAGAGAAAGCATTATGGCTTAAAGTCCAAGAGAGACCATTCGTGATAGTATTTGTTTTACTATTTTGACGTTGGAAGCATTAGCTGCTTTCTTCATTTCGTAAATTGATATTTATTATTTACCAGACCACAACATAGCACCGGAAAAAAATGGACTGGAAGTAATAGACGAACATGGATTCCGGGAAGGATGTAATGTTATTGTCTTGATTAAATGAAGTCATCTTTTATTATTGTTAAATTGTCAATGTTTAGACATTTGGTATACACAGATTTTGTATGTGTAAGCCCAGGTTTTTTTCTATGGACGCTACGTATACGCCCCTGCTTTTATGGCTAAATGGTGTAGCTTATCTATTGTTAAAACAGATGGCAGAACGATAATGGTCGCTTCCACAGGGACCTGAGAATGTGTTACATCTATATTTGGACCTAAACTAAGGTGTTTATTTTTTTCACACCTTTTGGAGGATTTGTGTACCAAAAATGAATCTAACACCGGGGCGGGGAATTTCTTTAAATTCGTTTTGCGTCAGAATAATACAACAGAGGTCCCGGGTGAGATTCTGAGTGGAGACATTGAAATATCAATTACCACGGTTACATACTTGCCGCAGTGAGCCACGAAATGTATAATATGTCTCCATATGATGTTACCTGTTCCCTTACCTGTAGTCATGTGCATATGCGTGTACACACTCCGACAGCCTATACGCTACGTTCCATATAAAATTATCTTTGAAATGACCCCTGTATTTGCTTGTCTAGGTCTCTGTCTCCTTGCTCCGTGCTAGGTCTACCCCAAAATGAGAAAGGTCTTATTTGACGAAGGACAAGTATAAAAATGGTCAGCTTGCAATGCATTTTATCTTGACGTTCGGCATACTATAATTATTCCATTTAATCCGACGTAATTAGGGGGTCACGTTTAGCTGTTCTCCACATTTCGGAACTGGATTCTTCAAGCAATTGAAGGACCTACTCAGGCTGAGTGAAACTTCGAAATAATTTAGATTTTTTTTAGTGAAATAAATAGGCAGTGCTTTTGTTATAAATAAAGATCGTTTTATACTGATAGAATACGCTCAAGTGTATACGTTTAGTTTGTAAATAATTGAAAACAGATTCCTATGAAGTTCACAATCTGTGACATTTTGTTTACCATCTTAGAATGTTTCGGACTGAATCAAAGCAACTATCTTTGCTATCTATGCTATCAACGAACAAATGATAGTCAAAATACAAAAAATACAAAAAAATATAAATGCTTTGTCAAAAACTAAATTATATTTTTTGTTTTCGTTTCCTAGTCACTTGATAATGCATATAACACACAAAAAAATGCGGGTTTTTTAAGTATTTCTGTTTAAAAATTGACACTCACTGGATATTAGATTCACTACAAATGTATGTTTATGAATAGTTCCATAATTAATTGGGACAGAAAAGCAAAGCCTTGTTAATTAATCCTGAATTTTGTTCGTAAGTTTTAAGTTAGCATGCTGACAGGCGATGTGAACTACAGGCCATGGAAGTCCATGAAGGCCTTGGTATGGACAATCTTGAATGGCTGCTCAGTGTGTGAATTGACAGTTTTATTTAGAATAAGCAAGGGCTACAGCTATTTAAAAATAAATGAAAAGCGGAAGCCAAATTGCGGCAAGCATTTCACCGTCCCTCTAGAACCAGTCTTAGGGTTCCAAAGGTGAACATTGAACGAACATCGCATTCAGTTATGTGTGGCGGGATGGGACGCGCTCGTGCGTCGTTAGGCTTCAGATAAAATCTTGTCAGAATCGATCACTGAAATTTGAACGACAATAGCTGCCGTCCGAGTCCTGATTATCACGTAAACCATTCAAGTAGAGGGAACCTTTGCCGGTCTTCTAGAATCAGGACAAACTATATATCGTTAGCTTTTAACGAATTTCAACGTATCGTTAATTTTAAGACAATTTGGTGAACATTTTACTTCGGTTTACTTATAGATTGTGGGGGTTTAGAATTGCGTTGTATGCCTATAGTGATACTCGATAGTCCTAGGACGGTGGATGTTTTATATATTTTGGGGGCATTTTACCTTTTTTTTTTAACTTACAAAATGCCGTTTAATGTACAACTTCTGCGCTGTTATTGGGATGTCGACATAAACTATCGCGCGTGTGTCATGTGGAACATTGCAATAAATAGAAATAAGTAAATTCCAAAACTTATCCTAGATTACGGTTTTGTGAAATAGGAAACATTCTTTCAAATAAAGTGCAATCCACTTAATCCCGTCCGCCATTATCTTTGCTTTATTTCGATGGTATTGTTTCCATCAAAGGTATATCATGCCATTCAGATCTCAGTCCATTTAGAAAATTGGACATTCGTACTTAGTTTTCTAAGAAAGTCATACAATTGTACCGATTCAGTTTGAGCTATTTCCTCAGGATACCGAAAGATGCCGTAAATATCCCATTATCTGCCATTATCTTAACAGCTTCGGAACCCCTCAGTGAGCATTACTATCAGGATCTCTCTGTGATAGGACACCATTAAAACGAAGCTTTATTGATACTTGTAAATGGACAAGTTGTTTTGAACATCATTGTGTTTATAACTTTCAACACGTGATGCGTGTGGGTGAACAGGGGATGGTCGGAGTTGGAAAGAAAGGAAGGGAGTGAACATCAAGATGTATCTGTAAAATAATCACAATGATAAGGTTTAGGTGTGAACATGTAGATCATATCTTCCAGAATAAAAGTGCGAAAAGCATAACGGTATTGATCATCAAACAAGAAACATTGGGGAAACAAATTCAGGAATTACCGTAGATAACGGAAAAGCAAACACCGATAGATATGAAAATATCAAAGCACTGGGGAAAACACAGACAACAAGAAGAATATATATTGCAATAGGGATAGAAAACAGATAATAAAACACATGGAGACAACTTTATTACAGACAAAATAGTCTCATCAAAAAGGACATTGAATTGATCATTCAGGGACCACAAAAACACAGAATAAGAAATCTGAACTGACAAACAGTAACTATAGAGATCAGAAAATACCGAAATATTAAAATATCAAGTTCACTTAACAAAAATATCAAGTTTACTTAACAAAAATATCACGTTCACTTAACAAAAGATCACGTTCACTTAACAAAAATATCACGTTCACTTAACAAAAATATCAAGTTCAATTAACAAAAATATCAAGTTCACTTAACAAGAATATCAAGTTCGCTTAACAAAACTATCACGTTCACTTAACAAAAAAATCAAGTTCACTTAACAAGAATATCACGTTCGATTAACAAAAATACAACGTTCATTTAACAAAAATATCACGTTCACTTAACAAAAATATCACGTTCGATTAACAAAAATACAACGTTCACTTAAC